TTCACTGATCAGATAGAGAGAGTGAAAGCTAAAAAAAATTCAGAGCTTTAAGAAAGCAAAATTAGAGTTGGGAGAGAAGAAGGGGAGAAGGAGAAAGGTTAGAATTTTCATACCATTTTATCACATCATTTCAACTTCATTATTAAATAAGACAACCCTCCCAATCCTCTAATTCTTTTTATTTGTTCAAACTTTCAAATTATATTCATATGCTAAAATGATTGTAATTACATGTAAATTTGTGATATGTATATTAGATGTTTGAAGGTTATTTAAATATTACTATTTTTAAAATCATAATATAATCTTTGATTTAGGCTTGCATGTTTGTTTGTGACATTAAATAGATGATTGAAGATTTTATTTGGTTTGATCATGTGTTTCTTAAATCTGTCAGAATTTTATATGAATTTTTAGACAATTTTATATTCAAAATTTTAGGATGGTTTCTTCTACAAAGTTATCGAGGATATGACTAGATCACAAAGAAATTTTGCTATCAATTATTTTAGCTCTGTACGAATTTATATAAAATTTTAACTAAATCTAAAATTTTAGATAGATTCTACTTCATCTTTGAAAAATCACTAAAACTCTTATGTTAGACCAAATATGGTATTTTTAAAGTTAAAAATGAAATTTGAGAAGTCTAAGTTTCATACTCAATTTTTGGATTATGGATTTGACTTATAAATTTCTGTATAGAATTATTTTAAGAAAATGTGAAGAATCCGTGTCATGTAATTTTTTGTAATTTTTCAGAATTATTTATAACTTATTTTTAGGAAATTCTTTCTGAATAATGACCATAACATGTTTTTTTTTTTACATTTCAGATAATTACATGAAATTTAGAATTGTCTAAATAATTACAATTCAATTATTTATTAGAACTAAAAATAATTGTTGTGCTAATCTATTTAATTATATCTTGTAAATTAATAGTTCATGCATGTGTGTTGTTGTGATTTATTTTAGTATTTAAATTATTATTTCATACTAAGACTTGATTTAACTGTTTATAATAATTTGTAAATATTGATAGATTATTGTTGAACGTATATGTTAATATTTTTCTGTTGAAAATTGTATTAAAATGGTATAATATTGATTGTGATTTAATTTGTAATTATTGAAATATTATGAAAAATAATTGAAATGATCAATGAAATGTACGAAATTAACGGTTGACAGTTAATACCAGTTATTTAGGGTGAATCCTGATTTTAAATAGTGTACGAAATTAATGGTTGGCAGTTAATACTGGTTGTTCAAGGCAAGCCCTAGTTTTGAGAATTCTTACGTAAATTGTGTTGTGAAACCCTAAGATGGCATGAGACTTATTTGAATCATTTTCGGTATTCGATTTTGAAATATAGGTGGATGTGTAGGTGGCACACAGGGAGGTTACGTACCCCTCACAGATTGTTTCCTTAGGATAGACCGCAGATGCCACTGCTTAAGTATGTAACTCAAGACGTGAGCATCCTTGGTAGTTACTAGGCCCGGCCCTGGCCATAGGCCCACAAGGCCATGGCTTAGGGCCCCTCAAAATAGGCCCAAAATAGGGGCCCCCTCCTATTATAAGTTAGTATAATATGTTAGGTGTGTTGTAAGTCCAAAAAAAAATTAAAAAATGCCCAAACTAACTTAATTTTTTTGACCCATTAAAAGGCCAACAGTTTAAGGCTGGCCCAACAGTCTGAAAGGCCCATTTTTCTAATTCCTAACCTTATCATCTCTTAATCCAACCTTCCTTACATTTGTTTGATAGCACACACCAGCAAGGACGAAGCACACACCGACAGCTCAAACGAAGCAGCAACAAGCATAAGTAAATTTTTTTTTTTCTATTCAATTAATTAAATATTTATCTTGTCTTTTGCACAATTAATTACTATTATAATATTGGTATTTACATCATCAAGAAAAATTTATTTAAGTTTAATATTTCACATCCCATAATTTAAAAGTTTTGTGTTTTGTTAAGTGGTGGTGCTTTTGTTTTGAATTTTGATTTAAAAAAATATTTTGATCCCAGCATAGCAAGCATAGGTAAATATTTTTTTTTTCCTATGCAATTAATTAAATATTTATCTTGTCTTTTGCACAATTAATTGCTATTACAATATTGGTATTTACATCATCAAGAAAATTTTATTTAAGTTTAATAGTTCACATCACATAATTTATTTGCTTCTAAAAATGCAAGAAGAGCGAGGATCAAGTGATACTTATTAGTTGTTATAATGTAATGCTAAGTATTTTTTTTGATTTTAATACAAATCTTTTGTCCTTTACCTTAATTTTTTTTTCATTCAATAAAAAAAAATGTGAAGGGCCCCAGAAAATTTAGTAGTTAATTATTGACTTTGGGCTCCGAAAATCTCAAGACCGGGCCTGGTAGTTATAGTTGGTAATAGTTGAATATTTCACCAAAGGGGGGTTTCAAATTAACTGTGGCCATGACTTAGTGGTTGGTAAGTTAAATATATTTAGTGAGATTTTGAGTGTTACCTAATTTATTTAAATTATTGAAACTATTTTAATGGTTGTAATTTATGTTTACAATTATATTGTTATATCATGTTTATAATGTCGTTATTTTCTCTTAAGAAGAAACGTAGGTTTATTGTATTTTCTTACTGTGTTGCAAAGCTCATAACAAATGTTTTGTTGCCCTAACATTTTATGCCAGGTTTTGACGAAAAATGAATGGAAGCTGAAAATGAAAATGGAGTTGACGCTAACGTAGAGCCTTGACTGATTTGAAGCCATGACTAAAGCCAAATAAATTTTATTATCTTATGTATTAGCTATTAAGGACTTTATAATTTTGTTTGATGTTGTATTTAGATAAAGTCAAGTTTTTTCTTAACGTTGTTTGAACCTTTGGTTATGTATGAGAGTTGAAATCCCCTATTAAGATGTTAGGTTTTTAATTTATTAAGTCATTTTGTTTATTTAATTTCACTTGATGTTCCAAAAATTTGGGGCGTCACAAATACTATTTTGTTTGGTTTGATTTTCATAATCAATTTTAAAAGATGAGTTTTTGAAAAAGATAAGCGAATTACATTAATGGTCTCTGTAATTTGGAGTTTGTGTTATTTTGATCCCTAACTTTTCAATTATAATAATTTGATCCTAAATTTTAAATTTTGCTCTAAATAAGGACAATTGAAGATATATTTTTCTTTGCAAACGGAAAATGCTCAATTTTAAAGGCAAAATTGTCAATTTGATAAAATATAAACTAGTTTGACAAAAATAAATATCAAAAATTTATTTTTAAATTTTTAAAAATTATTTCTACCCACTAGCACTACAAGAAAAATCACTTTTGGCGACTAAATTTTTAGTCGCCAAAAGTCCACTTTTAGTCGCCGAAAGTCGAGTTTTTGCTTTCAGCGACTAATTTTTTTAGTCGCCCCTTTTGTCGCGCATAAATGGTCGCGAGAGGTATCGGCGACTAAACTTTTTTTAGTCGGCAAAAAATAGCTCTTTAGCGACCAAATGTTTAGTCGCCATTGGTGCATTACACATTTTAAAAGCACACATTTGGCGACTAATATTTTAGTCGCCAATAGTCCATGAATCGCCGACTAAACAATTTTGTCGCCCAAAAAAACCCTTTTGGCGACTAAAAGTTTAGTCGCCAAAGGTTCTTCCGTAAAAAAAAAAAAAAACAAATTCTTTGGTTTTTCTGAGATTCGAACCGTGAACCATTCCAAGTGCCAACACCTTTACCAACATACTCCCCCCACTATGCCACTTGAACCTCACATGATTATATATGCAATATATATTATTTATATACTATTTTGACCGGTATTTATACAAAACCATATCTGTAAATATAATTATTTTTATTGAATATAATTTATGTAAAAAATAAATTATTTATTAAAAAAAAATGTAGGCCACTTTTGGCGACTAAATCAATTATTTAGTCGCCAATTCTATGATTTTTGGGCTACTAATTAATTTGTTGTCGCTAAAAAAATATGTTTAAATTAAAAATAGCACTTTTCGCGACTAAATCTGTTTTTAGTCGCCAAAAACGTCCCGTTTTGGCTACTAAATTGAAATTTAGTCGCCAATTCACTGTTTTTAGCTACTAATTTTTTTTTTGTAGCCAAAAATCTTCATTTTCAGCGACTAATCTTTTTTTAGTCGGCAAAAGACCCATAATCGGCGACTAAAATGGTTTTTAGTCGCCAAAACCATAACTTTTGGCTACTAAATTATTTTAGTCGCCAAAAACCGTCGCTTTTGGCTACCAAACACCCTTTAGTCGGCAAAACTGTTACATTCGGCGACCAACAAACAGTTTAGTCGCTAAATCCTTGGTATTCGGCGACTAATTCATTTTAGTCGGCAAAAGGCTTCATTTTTGGCGACTAAATCAAGTTTAGTCGCCATTTGGTCAACTTTCAGCGACGAAATTCTTCATTTTAGTCGCCATTTGTGCTTTTTCTTGTAGTGAGTACCATTTGCATTTGTATTCTTACTTTCGGTGCTATTGCTCTCAACGGGTTGGTATTTGAGAGTCATAGAGGACAGCACATGAGAGAAGTTCGAGGAGGTGATTAAAGTAAAGAGGAGGTGCTGGAGTGGGGTTAAGAAAAAGTAAAGGATATTTTTGGAGAGAGAAGTAGTGTGCATGAGGGGAGATGAAAGATAACACTCAGGAACTAAACAATTCATCTCTCTCTGCACTGCTGTGTGGATTCAACTCTTTCTCAGATATTCATTTACATATATCATCATGGCTCCAGCAGCAGCAACAGCACCTGCAGATTCGGTAAAGCCTAGAGATGTTTGTATTGTGGGTGTTGCACGTACACCAATGGGTGGATTTCTTGGTTCTCTTTCACCTTTACCAGCCACTAAGCTTGGATCCATAGTTATTGGCACGACTCCATCGATAGTGCAGCATGTAAGAATTTATTCTTAATTAGGCTGTCATTGACTATATTTTGTTTGGTTTGTGAAAAATGGGTTGTGATTCAGATAGATTGACTGGTATGAGCCCAAAATTATTATTGTGATCCATTCAGTTTGGGCCATGGTCATCTTAGTGTATATATTATTTATATGTGGATATGTGATATGGAGGTGTAAGGCCTGTTTTAAGTTATTTGGGTTCCTTAATGGGAGGGCCCAGTAATTGTTTTATTTAGGCCCAGTCCCCTCTCCTATCCTTATTAGGGTTTACATACATCTATATATATGTAGATCAAAGGGTTGTCAGCCCCATTGAAAGACAACGTGAAGAATTAGGAGAAGGACGGGAAGAGCTGGTGCTAAGGTTTTCCAATTGTGAATACCATCATCTTTCAAAGAAGCAAAATTCAAGACAACAACAGAATCAAACGGTATGTATCTAAGTTTATATTTTAGTAGTTAATTATATTCATAGTGTTTTGATTTCTAGTATATAGATCATATTTTCTTACACAGCATGCCATAGGAGTTGTACTTCAACAAGGATGGGTCTGCTGTTAAGAGACTGCAAAGTGGTGTGAACAGGCTTGCGGATCTTGTTGGGGTTACTCTTGGTCCGAAGGGCCGGAATGTTGTTCTAGAGAGTAAGTATGGCTCCCCAAAAATTGTTAATGACGGGGTGACTGTGGCTGGAGAGGTTGAGTGGGAAGATCCAGTAGAGAACATTGGTGCTAAATTGGTTAGACAAGCAGCTGCCAGGACCAACGACTTGGCTGGAGATGGGACAACCACATCTATTGTTCTTGCGCGAGGTCTTATCACCGAGGGTGTAAAGGTGGTAGCAGCTGGTGCAAACCTTGTTCTGATTACCAGAGGCATTGAGAAAACAACAAAAGCTTTGGTTGAAGTGCTTAAGCTAATGTCTAAAGAGGTTGAAGACAGTTGAAAATTCTAAGTGATTCGTGATTAGATCAAGATTATAATATTCCAAATCTCAATTATCTAAAACACACAATCTAAATCAACTAGCACTTACGAAAGTGATTTAGATTGTTTGTTTTTGGAATAAACAATAAATCAACACAAACGATTTTTTACGTGGAAAAAATCACAATTGAAGAACCTTCAATTGTAATAAAAAATCACGGGCGAAACGCCACTAATCAATCCACTACTGAAGAAAGAAAGATTACAAAGATAATACACAAATTACCCAACTCAGTCAATTTGTCTTCGAATCTTCTGCAACTCTTTCACCACGCCTTCATCTCGGAACTGATCAATCCTGAAGTTGAATCCACAACTTCACTTGTCGAATTAACGACTACGTATAGAATCAAACGCCTTTTGAAACTCTACGCTTGAATCTTCGGAATCCACCGAAGAGATCTCTCTCTTGAATTTAAAGTAACCAACTCCTTGATGTATGTATCTTAGATCATGATTGAAGAACTCTTCTCAAAACATCAAGGAAACCTCACAAAAACCTCAGAACCAAACTTCCAACAAAAGCCTAGGACTCTTGAATAAGATCTAGAAAAAACAGTCCTAAAAACAACCTAAATAGATATAAATAGGAATCCTGAATCCGCGATCTCCGCTCGAGCGCCCAACAGCCCGCTCGAGCGGCTTCAACAAAATGCGCGTGTGGTAACACAGTGGCCCGCTCGAGCGCTTTATAACCCGCTTGAGCGCAAAATCACGCACTCCAGTACTTTTACACTCCAGTACTTTTACAGACCTGTCAAAATACTGAGAGACCACAAACTCCGCTCGAGCGTCAATGTCCCCGCTCGAGCGGGAAGAACAAAAACACAGAAAAATTAACAACTTTAACAACACAAAGTTTTGTATCCGGATTTGACAATCAAGGGACCTAACAACAGTGAACTAGCAGATGTGGCTGCCGTTAGTTCACGTGGGTGCGCCTCAGTTATGCATGTAGATTGTGATGCTTTGAGGCTAAAGCAAGTTGAGGTATGATGATAATAGCATATGGACTGCCCGAGGATATCCCTTATCTTTATATTATATATATATATATATATATATTTGAGTTGATTTGAAATTTTCCATCCAATTAGGAACATTGTTACTACAATAGGAGGGCCACCACGTGGGCGTGGTTGTTAATAGGCCACCCATGCTAACTGGTTGATTGCGTGTTGCTGCCTCTTGTGGTGATTCAAAATTGGTTTGGTTTTTGAATGGCTCGGGTGGGCCCGAAACACGTGGGTTTACATGAGGTGAGGTTTGAGGAATCATATTGAAAGTCGGAGGGCTTGTCGTGATTTTCACAATGATGATCTTGGATACATAATCGGGCGATGTCTGCATTTTTGGATTAACTCTTCTTCTAGCTTGAGGTGGGCATTCCTACTCATTCTTATGTGTTTTAACATAAATGTTGAGTTATTTGTATAGATGGTTTGATTTGGGAAGTTAGGGTTTGAGATGTATAATGTTGAAAAGAGGGGTTTTGTTCAATTGACTCATATCTATGTGTTTTGGGTTTAAAATAGAGATTGTTGATATTTTTGATAATATTTGAGCCTTTGGGTCAATATTGAGAAAATGGGAGAAAATACCATGTTTGGGTATATTCGGGTCATTAGTGTAATTAATGACAATTATTATGAAAATATGAAATTGAGCTAGAAATAATGAAATTGACTCATTATGAGATAGAATGGTGAAATTGGATTCATTAATCACTCACCTTTGAAATGTTGGTAATTTATCTGTTGATGCATTTGTTATTTGTTTAGAAATAATTGCTTTGGGCTATGGTGTATGATAGTCTTGATTGTTGTAGACAATGCATGATGATTAGACAAAGTAAAACTAATCAATTGAAATGTCATCGAATATGACGGTTGTGATAATACGTCGAATTTGTGTATTAAATGAACATGTATATGATAACGTTTATATACATTGTGTTATGTGGGAGAAGATAGGGGATGTACTCCACGGTTTAAGGGAAGATAGGGATGGACTTTTAAACCGGATGTTGTTTGGGAGGAGATAGGGGATGTACTCCATTAATACACCAAATAAGTGTATCTATTGAAGTATTGATATAGCAAATCTGTATATCATATATGAAGTATGGAAGTGTTTTGTTAGAGATTGATACAGCAAATACGTGTATCTATTGTGAAGTACGAAATGTTTAATTTGAGTCTTTATCTCAATTGAAATGGAAGTACTGTTGATATGAGATGTAACCTCACTTAAAGTGTATGGCCAAGTTCTGAGCCAGAATCATGAATTAAGAAATGGAAATTGTTATGAAGCATGGACATATTTGTCATGTAATAGAAATGGATTATGAATGGAATTATGTAAGTTAAACATTTATCGGATGCTCACATTTTAGTTATTGCTCATATTATGTTTAGCATATCTCTACTGGGTTGTTGGCTCACCCTATACGGGAATATCATTTTCAGGTGCAAGTGAGATGTTACCTCCAAGGCAATAGCATGGATGGACTCTCGGGAAGCAAGAGTTTCCTAGTTATGTTTTATGTGTGCATGAGTGTTATTTGTAAAGCCAAGGGCTTAAGATGTAATGAGTGAGACTCAATTTGTGTAACCAAGCAATGTCTTGGAAAGATGAAAGCTTATATGGCATTTAATTGCTTGTTAAACAGTGAACTCTAATATATGAAAGTATATTGTTTCTCATATTTATTCCGCATATGAGCTATCATTGTAATATTTTGGGGGTGTTACACCAGCCTTGGTTGAAGAGTAATCTCTTGGTGCAGTATGAGACAACCTACAGTATCGTTATCTACCACAATGGTTGAATATAGAGCAACAGCAATGGCAGCTCAAAAAAGCACATGGCTTATGCAATTGATGAAAGATCTACACCAACAAGTTAACTATGGAGTACCATTGTATTATGACAATTAGTCAACAATACGTTTAGCTGAGAATCCAGTGTTTCATGTTAGGACAAAGCACATGGAGGTACATTACAATTTCATTCAAGACAAGGTGCTCCAAGGAGATAGAGATGAAATCAATCAAAATAGATGACCAAGTAGCAAACTTGTTCAGTAAAGGATTTGGGGCCTCAATGTTTGCAGAGTTTGGAAAGCAACTCAACTTGACTACAAAAGAAGAACTAAAGAAAGGAGTGAATGCTGAAGGGAAGAGTAATTAGTCATCATTAACTCTTCTAGAATTATCTAAACCATTAATTACATATGTTGAATAATTTAGAATACTCCGAAAAGATCTAGAAGATTCTAAAAAGATTTAGAGAAATCCGGAATATTCTAAAACATTGTAGAAGGTTCCAGAACATTATAGAAGCTTGGAGAAATCTAGAAGGTTCTAAAATAATTTAGAGATTTCTAGACTATAGGGAAAGTATGAGTACATGCTAGAATATTCTAGAGGGTTAACAATAACACTTAGATCAAAATGATCCTAACCATCCATTGAGGAGGTGAATGATTATATAAAGGGAAATGACCTCATTTGGAAGGTACAGGACACAACAAGAAGAAAAAATGGAGTCAAGTGCTTAAGTGTGAGTGATTCCAAAATAAAGTATCCTTAAGAGCTTCCTTTATATACTTGTACTTTGTATCTAAATAAATATTCACTTTTGTATAATCGTTGTGTTTACTAGCCACGATAATGCATTGGACAAATTGACCAAAAGAAGAAAAAGATTCCTCCAAAGTTCGGATTGCCGAGTTCATATTTAGCTAATTACCTTCAAGGAGCACATCACGAATACTCAAATCTATCACAAACTGTAGAGCCTTAGCACGATTATGAATAAGGCTACAAACAAACCGAGCTGTTCATGAACGGCTCGAGCTCGGCTCGTTTAAAGCTCTTTTAAGCTCGACTCGTTTACTAAATGAATGAACTCGAACTTGATTTTTAGGATTGTTTATTAATCGAGCTGAGCTCAAGTAGTCCTAAGCTTGACTCGACAAGGCTCGTGAACATAAAAATAAATAAATTAATATTTATTTTTAATAATATATTAAATAAATTTTCAATAATCTATTTTATTTTTTATTTGTGTTTTGTGTTTGTGTAAATTTAAATATTCGATTGATGAAATTTATTATTAATATAAATATTATTATATATTTTATGTATAATTTAGTATTTTTTTAATCTTAATTAGTAAATTAATTTAAATTAATTTATTTTTTCTATCTCGAGTTTGAACTCGAACTTGAACTCAGCTCATTTATGTAATCAAGTGAGCTTGAGCCGAGTTCGAGCTCAACAAATATTTGATGAGCTTGAGCTTGATGTTTTAAGCTCGACCAGAGCTCGGCTTGAGCTCGAACTCGACTAAATCTTAATAAACAAGATTGAACATTCAAAAGTTTGGCTTGGCTTGTTTGCAAACCCAATTATGAAGTATAGTACTACTGGAGGCTGCCAACTTTCCAACGTTGAGCAAATGGGTCCAATTGTGGTACAAAATTTAGGCTGTGTTTGGTGTGGAATTTTAATTATGATTCCACACCATATTTGAGCTATGTGTTTGGATATAGCTTTCAAAATACATTTCCACACCACTTTTGGAATCACTTTTCAAGCGGGATTTGAATTTTGAAATTTGGCTTACCCGAACGTCTGGCCGGTTGAACGAAATAGTGTTCTTTTTTTTTTAGGCAATTGGCACTTGTTATTTTTTTATATTTTAAATAAAAAGAAATTTTTTGAAGTTTTAAGATTTTTTATGAGCTTTTAATAGAATTTTGAGTTGTGTGTTTGGTTATGAGTCGTAAGTTTTTGAATTAAATATCATATGTCACATCAAAAATTTCAAATTCAATTCAAAACTCTTTTCAAAACTCATAACCAAATAAATTTTCACACTCAAATCATACGTCCAAAACTCACAAACTCAAAATACAACTATATTCTCAAATCATATTTCTAAAACTCTACCAAGCACTACCTTAGTTATTATATATTAAATTTTTTTTGATAAATATTGAAGTGGAAAATAGAATTAGTTTCAGTGATAAATACATACAAGGGAGATTGACTAATAAGTCCCATATTTTAAACTTGTAATCTATACAGTCTCATATTTTTTCTTGTGATTCATTTAGTTCTTTTGGATGTGCAATGACTTATTTGTCCGCGATATTGGAGTGTCACATTTGGAAAATGTACAATAAAGAGTTTTTAATTTTTTTAGAGTGTCACATCATATCCACCATGTTGGAGTGTCACATGTCACGTTTGAAAAAAATACACTAATGAGTTTTTAATTTTTTTAGAGTGTTACATCATACCCACCACGTTGGAGTATCACATGTCACATTTGGAGGAAGTACACTAAGGAGTTTTTAATTTTTTTAGAGTGCCACATCATACCTGTCATGTTTGAGAAAAGTACACTAAAGAGTTTCATTTTTTTATTTTTAAGTATCATATCATACTCGTCACATTATCACATTATGGAAAAGTATACTAAACAGTTTTTTTTTGAAGTGTCACATCATACCCATCACGTTGTCACATTAGAGAAAAGTACACTAAAGAGTTGTTATTTTTTATTTTATTTTTTTTTTGAGTAAAAGTTTTGGAGTGTCACATCATACTCGTCACGTTGTTACATTTATGAAAAGTACACTAAGGAGTTTTTAATTTTTTTGGAGTGTCACATTAATACCTGTCATATTAGAGTATTACATCATACCTGTCATATTAGAGTATTACATCATACCTGTCACATTAATAAAATGACATAGTTGTCTACCAAAATACTACCAAAATCAAAAATAGGATCATACAGAAAGAAACTCTCCACTAATAAGACTTAACAAATCAATAGAAAAAAATTAGAACTAATTAGAATACTTGTTTGTGAGATGAGATTTATTGGTAACTATTCCTACATAAAATTTCAGTAATAAATAGATCATCACATTGTGTAGTACCTAATGTCGAACTTAATAATAAATAAGGTCATATTGTGCAATAAAAAGTAAGGCTACAAAAATCACTTCATTTTTTTAGAAAAATCACATCTTTTATATATCCATTTTTACTCATTATCAATCAATGTTAAAATTTTATTTTATCCAGATTTAACAGTTAAGAATAGTTTTTTGAGTATGACACCAAAACTATATATTTATTTTTTATATTGAAAATGATACATTTACAAAAAAAAATTATACATAATTTCTAACAAAATAATGTGACAGTGACATTGTTAAAAATATAAGTCATCTTTATATACCTTTAAATTTAGGAGAATTTTTTTTTGAGATCCCTAATATTAAGATTTCATAAGATAAAGGATATACAATATTTTCATAGTAGTTAAGGTCCCTCAACATTTCTAAAGAGAAAATTTGACTCAAAGAAATTTTGCCCCGACTCAGATAAATTTTGAAAAATTTTGAAATTTCTCTGAGTCGGGTCCGAAATTTCTCTAAATCATATGAAGTTTCTCTGAGTCGAACAAAATTTTTCTGAATCGAATTTTTTTTTTTTTTTTGTGTGTGAAAATATTAAGGGATTTTAGCTAAT